GGTCTCTGTGTCATCCTGCAGGAGAAGGAGAAGAAGCCGCTGAAGGAAGGGGTGCAGGACATGCTCGTGAAGCACCATCTCTTCAGCTGGGACATAGATGGGTGACCTCCACCCCACCCCATCCTGGGGAGCCTTCTCAATGGCGCACATTTCTTTCCCCCACCCTCCACCATGTCTCGCCCCCTGCCCCACCACCCCCCACCCCACCCACTTGTACCTGTGACAAAATCCCCGTCAGGGTGGGGGCTGCCAGACCACCTGGGACAGATGGCAGCAGTGCCAAGAGGCTGAGCTGCAGAGGTGGTGGTCAAGGGTGATGCTGCAAAGGGACAAATGTGTTACGGCCACAAAAACAAATGTCCCTACCCAGCCTTCCCCATGTCTGCCCCCCCCCGCCATCTTCCACTTGCCCCAGCCCTGCCTCCCCGCGGTGCCGGGGGGAGCGGCCTGGCCTGCAGCCCCTCGCAGGCTGCTCCACAGGCCAGCAGCTGTGTGGGTGTGTGAGCGTGTCTGCTGCTGTTGCTCTGGGGACAAGGCAGCCCTCGCAGGGTGGCTTTGATCCATGAGATCTGGTGCCGTTGGTAGACAGCACCTCGGGTGCAAGTGGAATTGGGCTGGTGAGAGACTCATTGCTGCAGGGGAGCAGGGACAGCACAGCGCGCCCCGTGCCAGCCAAGGGCTCGCCCCTGCTGGGGAGAGGGATGGCAAAACCCGAAGCACCTGGACAAGTTCCTCTGACCTAGAGCTAGGGCTGAGAAGGGGGAACCAGCATCAGCCTCATCCTGCCTCCCTGGCATGGGGTGTGGACAAGAGGTGCCTGACTGCACTAGCCTGTTACTGCTGTAACAGCTTTAGGGGATGGGCCTGTCTCCTCTGGGAGCAGACAAAAATCACCTCGCCCCTAAATGAGTGTTTCATGCTGTCATTTTAGTCTGTAGATGATTTTTACTATTAACCAAAAAGCTGTAAATTAACTCCAGGAACGTGTATATTTTGGCACGGTTGTAGCTCAGGATGGGGTTCGGGTTGGAGCTGGCTCAGGGAGACTGACTCATCCTCCTTGCTCTGCGGCAGCAGCGGGGACGCAGGTCAGGAGTGGAGAATTGCTGCTTTGTGGTGGTGGCTCTGGGTATGGAGTCTGTGACTTTCTACTGAAAGCGCTTGTCTGTGAGCACAAACTACTCGTGAAATGACACTAGATTCTTACTTTATTTGGTGGGTTTGTAAATAAACTGCATCTTGGGAGAGTGCTGGGCTTTGGATCTCTTTTTTGACAGGACCTGGACTAGATTTAATCCTTCATTTCTGCCATTTGATAATTATGACCCCATTTCTGCGCTGGCACCACAGGGCCTCAGCGCTGGCCTTGCATCAGCCCTGGTCCCAAGGCTGGGCAGCGACAGGGGTGGGAGCAGTTGTGCTGCCAGCGGTGGCACTTGCCCCCCTGCTGCCAGCCCTCCCCAACATTCAGCGTGCAGCAGAGCCCCATACAAGCAAGAGATACTCAAAACTAGGGGGTGAGGGGACACTTGCAGGAGGAGGGCCCTTAGCGAAGGGTAAGGGGCTGGCAGAAAGCAGGGCTGGGCAGGTGGGGAGTGGCTGTGGTGGTTTTGTACAGCAAAAAGCTTCTCCAGAAAAAGCAGGTGGAGTCTCATCTGCAGAGTGGGACAGGAACAGGGCCCAGGCCAAGGGAGGCCTGCGGTCTGAAGCCCAAGCCCACAGGAGGGTGGAAGTTGCAGTGTATTTACTGAGGTGAAAATGAGTGTTTTCAGTCAAAGTAATGCCAGTAACCCCTGTGACAGCTGGGGACCAGGCTCGGCTGGGCTGGAGGAGGCTGTAAAAGCTGCCTGTGCTTCTCCCACCATAAGACCTACTTCTAGTTGCAGCATAGGTGATTTCCATACACAGAGGGCTCTCCCTGTGGCCGGGAAGGGATGAGGCATCACTGTTCAAGCTGTTTTTTTTCAGGCTTGAGAAAGACCCAGAGGGTTCACCCACCCTTAGCTGGAAGAGGCAGAGTGGCCCCAAGCCTTCCCATCAGCATAGCAGAGAAGGTTCTAAGCACGTGGCTGTTTGGAATTTTTTTAATAAAATGGATTTTTTTCAAATATTTGTAACTGAAAAAATAATTCAATTTAAAGATCCATTCTCTCCCCCATTAACTTGTCACTTGTATCCTTTTCCAGTTGAATACTCGCTCTGGATCCGATGCCCCAACACCATCCGGCTCTGATGGTGCTGATCGCCCCTCGCTGTTTGCTGCATAGCGGAAGGGAGAGTGCGTGCTAGTCAAATACACATTACAAACAAGTAGTGGTTACAGCAGAAAGATTCAGGATTACATTCAAGGTAGAGGCAGAACATCAGACTTTGTTTTTCCCAATGGGTGCAAAAATGTATGTCCAGGGGAATACCTCTTCCAACAAAGAACTACTGAACTATTATTCAAACAAATAATAGTAAGAAAGCAGAGAACCGGGCTAGCCTCCTCTGGGCACTGCTTGGAGAAAAGACTTTCTAATATTTCCTGGGATGAGGCACCGTCTTCCCTCTGCCCCGGGCACAGAGTTATCGCTGGCTCTCCTGGCAGAAGCCCCTTGTGCCGAGGGGCTCAGGCAGGTTCACTGGGTTCCTCAGGAGGTGAAGCTCAGGATTCTGTCTTGAATCTGATGGTCAAGCCCATCAACCAATTTCAAGTATGTTGGGCAAATTTAATGTAATTAAATTCCTACAGTTTTACAAATGAGGGTGGGTGGGTAAAGGTGAAAGGGAGCAGCTGTGAGCTCAGCCTTTCACCAGCAACCCCTGGGAAGGGGGAGATCCATAACAGGCATTGGCCTCTCTCTGCCAATGACGACTTGGGGGGCCTGGCCCAGGGCTGGGTTCAGGCCAGGACTGCAGGGAGGGTGCTTCCACCTTCTCCTCAGAGCTCATTGCACTTAGATATTTTCATTCCTTATTTACTGGTTGCAGCTCTGTAATTATTGGTACAAAAGAAATCACACAGCTGGTTTTTGTGGGGGCTACTGTTCACAGTGGGTAAAAGAAGCTGATTTTGCCTGAGTTTGACAAATAGGTGGCCTTGCTTTTTTCCCTTAGCTTTTGAAAGATCATCCTTCGCCCATACTTTGCCCCTAAGAGCCCCCTGCTTCCTGTGCCCACCAGGCCTGAGGGCTGGGCAGCTGCCCTGGGGAAGCTCTGTAAGGCAACTGCTCCCAGTGAGCACCAGGGCTTCACTGGGAGAGAAGTGGGGGGTGAAGGGGGTGTCCACCAGTCCCAGTTATTCTCATGTTCAGGACACAACACTGTAGCTTGGGCAACAGAAAGCCGGTGGGGTGGAGGAAGGGCATATCCTCACCAGTGTGGACACTGAGGGACACAGATAAGAGGCTCTGACTTGAGTACAATCTGGGGGAGGAGAAGGGGGCAGGAAGGAAGGAAGCTGCCAGCAGGCTCCCCCTTCAAATGATTAAGAAAGTGGCTCCCTATGCAGTTAAGAATCAAATAAGGCTCAGGAAATTAGGAATTTCAGCTGCAAAACAGGCGTGACCCCACTTGGCTGCCAGTTCAGTGGTTGGCAGACCACCTGCTGTGCAGGGCTGGCACCCCCAGCCCGGCTGTGGAGCACCCATGTGGCAAGGCTGCCTCTGAGAAGAGCAGCAGGTACCAAAGGGGCAGGGGAGCAGCCTCTGCCCACCCACACCTACCCCTTCCCAGCAGGCAGCACTGCAGCCCAGTGCAGGGAAAGGTGGGCACAGCATCCTGGAGGAGACACTAAAAAAGGATGGCAATTTGCCCTGACCCTGAGCAGGGTCAGCACCTTTGATTTCTAGAGCCGCTGCCTCCAGCCCTGTCCCACCTCCCTCAGCCTGAGCGGGCAGGACCAGCTCGGGGCTGAAGGAGGGAGAGCTGTGAGGTGAGGTGGCCACTGGGTGAATATGGCTGTGAGCTACTACTAACAGATGCAGGGATTTAAAGGGGACAGGAGTAACGGCAGGAGAGCGAGCCCTAGGCCTGGGTTTCCAACACAAAACCCTGCCCAAGGAACAACAGCACCCTGATGCTGAGGGTTTGGGATACTCATTGCCCACAGGGCCACGGCTCCCAGGAAGCAGCCCTTTGCTTTTGCCTGGTACCCCGTGGGCCTGGAGGGAAGAGCAGAGGTCAGCTGCTGCCCCTTACTTGCTTTTGGGGTCCCACTTGTCCCCAGAAAGGTGCCCTCACCGTCACACTACCAAGCTAGGAGCTGTGTTGTGCCACACAATACCCCTTTTGCCAATGTGGCTTCACCCCCCTTGCCTGTTGGGGCTGATGTTCTTTCCCCTGGGGCAACCACTCCAGGGAGGCAACAGCACAGCTGGGGACAGATTGCACATGGCCCCTAATGATATGTGGCTCCTGGCTGACTGTGCTCCTCACACGCTCCCCAGGACACATGGATGCTTTCTTGTCCCTGACCCCCACCCCGGCTGCCTGCCCTGCTCACCCCGGGGTACCTGTGGAAGCTGGGGAGGAGGGGGTGTGCCTCAAGGCTCACTGCCAGGCACAGCCAGGGCTCTGGGGCAGTGAAGGACAGGTTTAACATCTAAGGCTCCGGATTTTAGCACCTTAAGAATCAGTTTTGCAGCCCAAAGCAAGTAAAAGCAAGCAGGCAAGGCCTCTGCCAAGCTCAGCAATATTTGGGAAACCAGCTTAGACATTACCAGGTTGGTGGGGAACCCTGGTTCCCTTTGGCGACATTTGGTAAAGATGCCTGTTCTGCCCAGCTCCTCGCAACCTGGACACGGATCAGGCCCTCCCCTGACAGAGGGCAGGTGGTGCAGAGGGTTGGGGCCCCCAGCCAGTGCTCCTGCCTCAGGGTCCTGCTCCGGAGATAGAATCTCCTTCTGCAACCCTTGAACTGACACAACCCCCTTTACTCGCCAATCCCACAAGGTGGGGGGTGCCGCTTTGCAGAAGGGCTCAGGGCCAGTCCCGCTCCGACCCGCTGTGAGACACGAGGGAACGCCTGCCTGGTGGCACCACGCCCACCGCTGCCATCGCTGCTTCTGCAGGAGGAAGAGGGGCTGCTGCCTCCATCCTCCCGTGGGCTGGGGCAGGCTGCACAGAGCGGGCAGGCGGCCACCAGCCTCAGAGCTCCTGCAGCCTTCCCCCCACCCAGCAGCCGTTCTCCCTGCCCTGGCCTGGCCCGCTGCCCAGGCAGCAGTGACTTGGGCAATGGGTCAGCCTCTGCCACCACTGTGGCTTCATGCAGGAAGGACACTGTTGGGGGAGGAGCACAAATACTAGGGAGCTCATTTCTTTTTTTGTTTTGTTTGGTTTTTTTGTTTTTTTTTTTTGGTTGACTGGCCTCTTCCCCTTGCATGCCTGTCCCGTCCCACTCCCATTCCCTTCGGTCTCTGCTCACAGAGTTACAAGCAAGAATCCCAGTGCAGCTGCAGATCGTGTCCATCAAGGAAGTCTGTGGAAAAGAGGCTGGGAGCCGCAGTGCTGAGGGGAGCCAGGCTCATGACAGGCCCCCCTGGCAGCTCCAGCCAGTCCATGCTGTCCAAATTAGCCTCTGCCAGATCCAGGGCTATGCCCCCAGACGGCTCATGAGCAAAGTGCAATTCTGAGGTGTCCATAGGTGAAGGCGGGTGGTCCAGGATGGCCGAACTGCTCAGCATCTCACTGTGGAGGTCATCAATCAGGGACAGGGGCTCTGGCCCATCGTGGCCTGCCGTCAGCAGCGGGAGGCCAGTGCTGCTCTCCAGGAAGTCCTCCAGCCGGCCCACAGGCACTGGCTGCCCCAGGGACACGGGCACCGCCAGCTCTGAGGAATGGTGGCTGCCGGGCGGGGGGGAACAGGCTGGGGCCACGGGTGGCTCCTTCCCAGCTGGGGACGACTGATCCTTGAAGTCAGCAGAAATCTCTGTACAGGGAATGAAGAGGCAGGCCAGGGTGAGGAAAAGCCTGGCCAAACACCAGAAGGATACCTCCCACCCACCAGGGCAGCAGGGACACCCCAGACTGAGCCATCGCTGATCACCAGCTGGGATAAGAAAACTCATCCTGTGCCCGCGCTTGGCTTGCTGTGGAGTTTCAGCCCTCCCCCAGGGAATTCAGGCTCTGTCCAGTACCACAGAAGTGATGTGCCCAGATACGATGCAGCAGAGCCACCGAGAAGCTTTGTATCGTTCTGTAATGCCTGACTGACATCTCTCTCAGTGCCTTAATGACTACTGCCAAAGTCCCTGCTAAAGGCACTGGCAGGGACACAGAAGCAGAGAGCTGGGTCATGTCAGCCTCTCCCCTTGGTGCTTTACAATCCCCAGGCTCAAACCTGAAGACTGGGAACTGCTGGCTCTGTCTCCTTACCTCCACTTTCAATGAGAATGTCAAACAGGTCATCCATCTGCTGGCTGGAACAGCCATTCTGGGGATAACAAGCACAGGATTAGCTTCATATTTCCCAAGGGTGCTTCTACCTCCAGCAACACCCTTGGCTGCTGGCTCTCCTCCCTCGACCCAGGGATGGGGCTCTTATCTAGCAAGAATAAGCATGTGGAGGCACAGCACCAGAATCCCCTGTAACCCCAGGCTGTTACTGGATGGGAAGGTAGTCGCCAACTGCTGTATTAACACTGTGCAGCGAGTGGCCTGGGATCTCGTATCTGTGGTATAGGGTCTGCCCCAAACCCTCCAGAAGGAATTCAGCTAGGAAGGTGCAGTTGTGTCTCCATTCTCTGTTACTTGCCCAGACCAGGGATCTAAGCAGATTTACAGTGGCACCTTTTCACTTGCTCTCCAAGGAAACCGGGGAGAAGAACTGCTCTCACCTGGGCCTTTGGCTGTTGCTTCATGGCCTCTTCGTAGCCTGGTGGCTCTTTCATTGGGACCGAGGGAACAGGGAGAGGAGGTGGAGGCGTTCCAAAAAGCGATACCTGCTGTTGCTGCTCCAGGTCCATCTGGGATGGGGAAGGGGCAGCAGGAGAGCCAGGCTGTGATGAGGGCTGTTGAGAATGAAAGCAGAAGGGCTGATCAGGGGAAAACCCACATCAACTCCTGTCTCTCAGCTGCGTGAGACACCATCACCCCCTCTCTTGGCAAGCGCTGCACAGAGAGGTCTGCACTGCTCTGCTCCCAGCTGCCTGGCTTCTTTTGCATGCTCTGTGCACTATGCCCTGGCTGCAGGGGAGGAAGATAAGATTTCCCCTCCAACTCACAGCTGGAAATCTTTTGCTGATTTTTCTAATGCTAAAGCAACCAGACCACAAACCACCACCAGGCCACTCCTGGGTGGGGAGAGCCTCATCTGCCCAAGTGGGGGATTCCTCCAGCACTGTGGAGAGAAAGGCCACTTCCCTTGTTGTGTTCAGCCTACTCTGCTCCATATATTCAGGATCTATCTTTCACCCACCTCCCTCTGCAGTGACTGTTTTGGGGACACAATCAAGCTTCACTAGCAGCAAGTTTCACAGCCTGATGGTGGATGGAGAACATAAGAACACTCAGCAGCACCAGAGGCCTCCAAAGGAAACCCCAAGTGCTGCAGGAAGTGGTGCTCATGACTCAGCTTTACCAGATGAATCAGCACACAACTGCCCAGAAGAGAAGTTAAAATGTGGATCAGGTCTTTGCCTCTACAGCCATTAGGTGTGATCCACACTGAAGCTTGCTCCCCTGGAGCAGTGATCCCTGGGCAGTAGATGAATGCCAGTCCCAACACTTGCACGTGTAGATGCTCTTCCCCATCCTGTTTTCCCTGGAAAGTTGTTCATCTGTTCTGTGACCTGCAGGTATAGGAACAACCCCGGGCCCCAGCCAGCTGCTCTGGGGTCTGCTCTCTTCCTGAGAGGGGCTGGAAATTGGTGCTGTGGCACAGGCCACTGGGATGTGCTGTGAGGGTGCCTTTTTGACACACTGGGTGTGCAGCAATTTTCAGGGACTGTTTGTGGAAATCATCGGGAAATAAGGGCTGCAGGTTTGGAGGTGCTGAGAAAGACAATATGGTGTGGGGCAGCTGCCCTGTGACCACCTGCAACCTGGTTTCTGACTCTACAGGGAGGCAAAAGGATTAGGAGAGTCCCTACAAATGCCTCCACAGCACACAAGCCAAGGGAGTCTGAGGGAAAAGGTGCCTTCATTTACTTCTGCATTTCCTCAAAAGTTCTCAAAGCAAATCAAAGCCCTGACCCTTTGCAAAGTAGGTATCCCACTCTGACTAAGCTAGAAATCTCTCCTGTCCATATCCTTTCCAGGATCTGACTCAGAAGTGATCCTCCAAGCTCTAAAAACTCTTCATAATCTTTCTGTATCTTAATTACATATTAGAGAGAGTACTACATAGGCTAGAAAGGGATGATATGGGCAGCAGAGGAGCCTCTTTCGAGCCATCACCCAGAGAAGGGGTAAAGCCGGAGGTGCTCTTTCCTGAACCAGCACTGCACTTCAGAAAAAGAGGTGATTAACAGGTATGTCCAAAGCACAGGAATGGAAATCACAGCATGTTCATCAGTACCAGAGTATTCATCCTTTTGCCCCTCTCAGGGCTCATACACCACCTTCAGTAGCAGACATACCACTCACTTCCATGCAGGAGTCACCTTTTCAGTTTACTAGCGCTCCTTCAAGAGTTAGGGACACCACTGTGCACTAAGACTGCCCACTCTGGCTTCTCATTGCTTTGTTTAAAACACCAGCTGGTATTCTACAAAGATATGGGACCAAAGGGCAGAAGCCAGTAAATTGCCAGTGTTTAGCCTGGAGCTCTTTGCTGTAAAGCCAAAGCACTTCCAAGCATGCCCATAGGGAAGGAAACCTCCTGCCTGATGGGCTCTCCATCGAAGCTAGTGCAGCAGGAGGCTGGGGAATGGAGAGGCCATGCCAGGCACCCCTGCTGCTGCCACATTCAAGCTCAAAACCACTCTGTGCAGCTGCGAGCTGTGGCAGAAGCTGCTGTGAGATCTCTCTTTTCCTGTGATGATGGTCTCTGACCAGGACTGTGTGTGTGTCCCCTTCCCACCTCTGCAACCGGCAGCAGGCAAAGAAAAACAAGGAAGAAAAGTGTGCAGGCAGTGAGCTACCTTTCTGACAGATTGGTTTCGTCCTCTGGGTGGATGCTGCTGCAGGGGCTGCTGCTGCTTCTGCACGGGCTGCTGCTTCTGCTGCTGCGTGGGCTGCTGAGGGGTGCTTGCAGGTAGCTGACACGGTGGTTGGCTGGAAGTTTTAGCGGGCGATGATTGTACTCTCTGGAAAGAAAAGGGTATCCGTGAGAAGTTACTCCCCAGACACAAACAACATGGAGCAAGGCCTATCTGTCTTAAAGGATTTCTGCAGTTTGTTCTTCCCCACTCTTTAGGAAATTTAGTCAATCATTCTGTTTCATCAAGCACAGAAATCAGATTGGGATGGGAATCAAGAGTCCTAAAAGAGGAGGTAGTCCCAGTCAAAACCCCTGGGCTATCCAGGACATCCTTCTAGGGCTGGCAGACCTGATACAGGACCTGTGCCTGCTTGGACCAGCGTCTGGAATTCAGGTGAGATACCCTGGGGTATCAGTGGTGACACTGGATGCTGGTATTTAGACAGCTGCCTGGCATCTCATCTGCTACACAGCAAACGCAGCCTGCACAGTGCCTGTCCCTGAGGGTAGACGCTGCCACTTGCTCTGCAGAAGGTGCAGGAAATAAAGCAGCAGAGAATGAAAATCTTCTCTTATGCCATGGAAGATGTTGGGGTTTGACTTAGGCCATAAAACCTGGGCATATTTATCCTTTCCTGGAAGAAACACTCTGAACACTTCTGTTAAGTGCTGAGCTCATGACAACAGGGGAACAGTAGATCATCTCTGATGAAATACTGTTAACATTGGAATACTGACACACATTAAAATAAAGAGCAGTCAAAAAGCAAAAAGTCTGCTCCCAGGGTCTGATTACAGCTCTCAGTAGATAAGGTGACATATCTATCACTCGGTCTATGATTTCTCCAGTAAAGGGCAAGAGGTGAAATACACTCCACTGGTTTTTTACTACCACAGACAGTAGTTCCTTCAAAAACTAGTGAAACATCACAGCAAACCCTTGTCCTCCAAGCCTGAGATTCTGCCTGACAAAAGGAAGAACCATGGGTTTGGAAGAATGCTGAACAGCCTGTGATGCACACAGTCAATTGTGCATTGCTGTACACAGTTCATCACTGTCAAATTCCAGTCTTTTTGCTGAAGATCTGCTTACACTGCTCTGTTTTACAAAGCCATGATCTACCAGCCATCGTAGCAAGCAACTCAGCCATTTTAGTATTTACTGCATTGAATTTCTGCCGTGTTAAGTCATCCTATGGTAACCTGAACAGCAGGAAGAGGGAGAGAGGAACCCAACTGCATGCAGCAGGGCTGCGATCTAACCCTTGCCTACCTGCAAGGCTGGGCAGCTACTCCCTGCCTTCCCATGGGGCGAGAGGCCCTGCCTCTCAGCACTCTGCTTGGTCACGGTGAGGACGATGTGGGTCCCTGTGGAGTCGGTGATGAGGGTGGGGGGAGGGGTGCCCTTGATGAGGTCACTCAGGGCACTCCCTTTCTGGCCAAGGAAAAGCCGCGGGCTGTGGGCCTGGCACGGTAGCTCTGCTTCCGCAGCTGGCACCTCCTGCTTCACTATCACAGCTTTCTTTGGCACTGGGCTTGGATTTGAAGTGTCCATTTGGCTAGCAGTTGGTGCAGGGCTGAATTGGTCTGTTTGGCCACTGGATTGCTTTGCAGACTGGCAACTCAGGAAACCGTTTTCACTCTTGACCTGGGTGCCAAATGCTACTGGGTTGGAGGCAAGGGCTGTTCCTTCTCCTGCAGCCGCTGGGGCTGGTAGTGACTGCTGAGAGCGCTTCTCCTGCTCTAGCTGTAGTCTAAGCATCTCAACCAGCTGCTGCTTCTGCTTTAGCATGCGGGTGAGTTCCTCGATCTGCTTGTCCTTCTCCTGCAGCATCTGGTCTTTGTCCCTAACTTCTGCATCTCTGCTGTTACCACTGCTACACCGCTCCGACCTGGGTATGGCATTTATGCTGCAGGAGGCAGACTTGGAGCTTTCTTCCTTCACCAGGAACTGCACAGGAGACGCCTGCAAGGTGAGCTGGGTCAGGGGTGAAGTCACCATCTCTCCAAAGGTGTCTCCAGTGGCTGAGTTCTCATCCCCTGTGCTCATCTGTGAGCGCTCAGAAGGAGTTGGAGAAACAGGAGGAGTCGAACCTGTGCTGCCGAACTTCATCACACCGCCACCAGTGACTGTGGCCACAACTACTTCTGCTGGTGCAATGCCAGTGGTGACCAGGGCTGGCCCCGTGCTCAGCCTGGCAGCTGGGAAGGCTACCACCACTTCAGCAGCTTTTGGGAGGACGGCTGCTGTGCTGGGCTTGGGAGTGGAGGTTGTTTGGCCGGCTGCACCGTTCTGGTCTTGGTAAGCTCTGAGACGCTCAATCAGGTCTGTCTTTGTGCCCGAGACAGGCAAGGCCCTCAATTTCAACTCTTGCTTCAGCTCTGCTACCTGATACAGGGAAAAAACCAAAAGAGGGCAACATTGAGAGAACATACACTCCAACGAGAACAACTATTAGCCGCTACCAGAGCCACGAGGCAAAGGACTAAACTGTCCTTCCTGCAGGCCAGTAAACCTGCTCTGCAGGTACAGACTGCAGGGCAGCAATACCAGCTGTTATCACTAACTCCTGTCAGTCCATCTCAGCCCTGCTCTGGGGCAGCAACATGATTCAGTACTGCCCTCAGACAATAGCAAAAAAGGGGCTGTGCAGCTTCACAGACATTTACCTTCATCTCATCTAGGTTGACAGGGAGAGGTCCAGGCTTGCCCACCGCAGCATTACTGTTCTGTCGCATCAGGCCACTGGAACCAGGGGATACTGAAGATGCACTGCTGACTGTGGCAGAGAGATTGCGTACAGCAGGGGCACTGGCACCACTCTGCTGCTCTCCTGGTGGCCTACAGGGAAAAAAAAAAGCACAGGCATCGAAACAAAAGTGGAAAGGCACCGGAGGCACTCAGTGTCAACATATACATTCAGAAACATCTGGGTCACTAATGCCACCCTAGACACTAAAGTACACCACTGCCTTTGACTATATCCATGCCCCTTACTCTGCCAACCGACTCACTTCAGCTGTTTTTGTCTGATTCATCTGACACCCACCCTTTTTGAGGCCTGCTGTAACCTAACAAGATTGAGTGCTTACACCCCACTGCCACACCTCACACCTGGAGCACATCGTCTCCGATAACAGTACTGGGGAAGCAAGTGCTTCCAAAGAGAGAGCTGCCATCTAGGACCCATACTTTGGTGGGGCTGGCAGGATGGTCTGATAGTTGTAGTGCTGCTGCTGCTGGTTGAGGATCTGAAGCTGAAGAAAGAGCTGCTGCTGCTGCAGTATTTTGGCATAGGATGAATCCATGGGAGGAGCTCCCTTGTCCTGCTTTTGGTCCGGGGGAATATACTGATGATATTTAAGCTTCTTGACTTTCGGCTTCAACTCCTTGGCTTTTTTACTGCGCTGAGACTTCTCACTAGCAGACTTGGGCTGGCTTTGCTATTTGGAAGAAAAGGAAGCAAGTAAGAATTGAAACACTGAAATAACATAACACCCCATGTAAACCAAAACACACACTGGGATTTTAATTTCAAAATTCTCCAGATTTGACCTCAGGGCCTATCCATGCTTCTCTACAGGCAACAATATAGTCACAGCACCCACACTGACTTACACTGCACCATAATGCAGGTCACCTTTCCCAGCACACCAGATCACTTGCTCATCCAGTGCAGACTCACTGACTATGGATAATATTGATTGTTTCAAAACATTTTGCATTCAGGACCCATTTTACAGAAGATTAATACATCGTGGAACAGAAAAACCTATTAAATATGTTACAACTAGTGTCAGAGGAAGACACTAGTGAGAAATAAGCTTTCCTTCCTTTGCATCTGTCAACACAGTACTTCCAACTCCAAACCTTCTTCAGAGTAACCATCTCATCTTCCTTCAGACTACAACAATAAAGAAATCAGGCAAAAAAGTACCTTAATGAGTGTTGGTGGGGGCTTGGCAGCAGTAAGAGCTGCTCCGTTGGTAAGACTAGGGGGCAGAAGGGGTGGTGGTGGCAGAGGCGGGGGTGGCTGTTCAGGTAGGAAAAGTGTTTCACTGGAGTCTGCACTAATCTGCAATTGGGATGTACCCTGAAGGGACAGAAAAAGGCATAATGAATATATGTATGAGAAGGGAAACAGTTTAAGAGAGTGCAGGAAATGTCCACTTAGAGGGAAGCAGCACAGGCTTCAAGTCATTAATTAGACTTTTTTAACCCACTGCTTCAGCTGTCCCTGAGAAGCAGCACAACTTCTCAGAGCAGAAAAGGAAACAAAATCCCACACCTATATCTCCCAGCTTTGCCTGAGAGAATAAGTCGCACACAGGCTGTATTGCCAAGTAATTACTGCCCCCCTTGCCCACGTGGCACCACTATGCGGGCTTCTGAATAACCACAGGACTTCACCAACACCACACAGAGCTAAGAGCCCTTGTGAAATCTCACAGAATATACCTTTCAAGGATCCCTTGGTCTCAATTTTTAGGACCCTCTGCCACTAATCAGCAGTAGCTTGAAGCTCCAGGGCACTGCAGGAGGCCACCGCATTCTCACCTGAGCTAGTGATGTGCCAGTGGTGCTAGGAAGAGGCTCACAAATCCGGGAGTCCATTGGTGATGGGACAGACCCCTGGGACTCATGGCTGGCTGGCTGTTCTGGGGAGAGGGCATCACTGCTGTCCTCATCAAAGGAGGAATTGTCTGCAACCTTTGGGTAGTTCACCTGTCCAACTGAAAACACAAACATCAACTGTGGCCTTTAAAGTGGAGTAGGAGATTATTTCAGTTGACACTAGATGTTTCACAAAGATAATGAAGGCATGGAGAGAGTTGTGTTTGAGTTGTGCCTAAAGCACCAGCTAAAAATGAGAGAACAGAGCACATACCAGATCAATTTTAGGTAGAATAAAATAATACAGACTGGGGCGAACCATTTCTCTTGCTTCTTAGCTAGACAAGATCAGAAAGTGTAACAAGAGCTACTTAACTCTGCCCAAACCCAGACCTGTGGCATGGCTTATTTGATTATCATCTGGCACCAAAGAAGAAGGTTAGACAGGGTAAGGTTGAGTCATGGTTTCCTTGATGTTCATCCTGTGGTGGAAGGAAGAATCCCTCTTCAAGACAGCATCCCAAACTGTCCTCTGGCTTTATAAGCAACACGAGCTATGGATTAAGCAGTGGCCCTGACTGCTATTAGCATTTCTATCTATCTACATATCCATGAGATAAATTCATGTGAGTATACATCTGTAATGTACTAATGTTTTTTAGATTACATTATCTCAAATTTACCCTGGTATGCAGGAAAATACTATCATTTGCACCTAACGTAAAAGCAACAGAAATCCAGAGAGATGTACTCCGCTCAGTCAGAAGCAAGCCACATCTCTAATGCTCCAGTTCACAAGTTCACTCTTTCTCTTCTTCAATCACATTTTGTGCAATAGTGAAGCCAGGCTCTCCCACAACACTGTCCTTTTCCTTTTTCATGAGAAGTATTCCACCTTGCTCACAGTTGTGTCCCATTTGTCTTTAAAGTAGCTGTGTGTGTTTGAGGGGATGAATAAACCACAGACACACAGAGACTGCTCAGTCTGGGAAGACAGGAAAGAACACTGCTCAGGCAGTGGGAAGGCTATTCCTCAACATTCCTTTCAGCCCTTGGAATGGCACTGGCATGACTTACATCTGTTCTGGTTTATTTTTAAAGGGGTTGAATCCTATGAAGTTTTGAAGTTCACAGACAGCTTTTGTTTCATTACACCTGTTTATATTCTGTCTCCTCTCCCTGATCTGAGTAAGTCAGTGGGTTCTCCCTGACCAAGGTTGCAGACACATTATACCGAGAGAGGGATTTTTAAGGAGAGAATCTACAGAATTCAATCTTCAACAGCCTTTCAAAGTCTTTAGGGTATGCGATTGCTTTCACGTTATTCTGGGATGTCCATACTTCCTATAAGCTCATGCCTCCGTAGCACTATCTGGGCCAGAGGCAGTTCTGCTTTTCAGAATGCTTGGGGCTGAAAGCCTGTGATTCTGAAACAGGAAAACAGGACCAACCATGGAATTGCAGTCAGACAGGCAGGTGAATTGATAGGAAATCACAGCCACCTGTGGACAATGCCTTCAACACAGATCCTCCTCCCACTTTACCAATAATGGCTTCCTTCAGGCTCGATTCTACAGGCAAGATGTTCTTCTCCACCAGCTCCATGGGACCTGGCCTCTGCGCTATCTTCTCATTTAGGTCATCTGCCAGTCTGGCTCTCTTTAGCTTCAGCTGCTTAGCCTGCAAGGAGGGTTCAGCTGAGGTCTCTGTTCGGAGGAAAGTAAATAAAATGGCATCAATCCAGCAATGGTCAACCTATGCACTTCAGCAGTATTTTACTTCTGTCCAGAAAGGCAACTCTAGATAACGGTAGATAACTGTACAGAAAAATAGTTGCAGAGAACAACAGATAACTATGCACTATAAAGATTATATATTTAGTACTCCTTGTGACTCTAGAATAGGACAAATTCACTGTTTTCAAACTGACTCAGCCAATTCTTATTCATCTTTTCCCTTTCAGTTGTGTCCAAAGATGTGGTGCTCAGCAGCAGCCATAGTACTCTCTCTCTGAAACTGAGGTGTTCACTAATTAGATCAAATCTGCCTCACTCCCTCTTGGATATTTTACAGTGTGTTCCCTTAGTAGAAGAGCAATCCATGGTCATTCTATTTCACTGTTGCTCAGCTACATAAAATTGCACAATTTGAGTTCATATAAAGAGATTCTTCTGAGGATCTTCATGTAAGCAGAACTGAATAACTCCCAAGAAATCATGCAACAGGCATGACGTTCTGCCTGCTCCCAAGTCAAAGAAAGACTTGGGGACCAGAGACAAAATAGGAAGCTCTTAAATGAGTAATGACAATTAAGTTTATTGTGATGTTTTCCTGTGTAGTAAGTGCCATACCTTCCAGAATGTGCATCCTAACCAGCTCTGATCTCTCTGGCCGGGACCGGATTTTCCGTTTCAGATAATCCTCTGTCTACAGCAAAAATAGACAAGCAAGAACCAATTTCAGTTGATCGGACACAGGATCGAGGTAATCTTGGACAGCACAAACAAGAGAAAGAACCATCTTTAGTTGTTACTGAGATCTAAATAAACACAGAAGGGGCATATCTTCTGTCCCAGAGCACCCAGAGAATAGGCTTATTCTAAAGATGACCTTTTACCGTAATTGCCTCAGCCTAGCCATGCACTGTTGCACAGAACACAAACTGGAAGGGACTTCCTCAAGAGCTAAAGCCCTCTTTTCCCCTTTTAGGGAACATCAGTAACTTGTGTCAGGGTTAAATTCAAGACATTTATTTTTGCATGAAAGATAAATGCACTGGTTCCATTGTTCACAGCAAATACTTTCATATGCTGCTGGCATGCAGGGCTGACTTGTGGTTAGGGCATATATTTAAACAAATAAAAGAGTATGTTATTTGTTAAGCTAAAGACCCTATGCAGTCCCTTGGCAGGCACAATCTTAATGCTATGACAAGACTCATTTCATTTCTAGAGCTGCTTTAAGTTCTGTCTTTGGAGAATGCACTACAGAGCAATATACAGAGATGACCCTGTCTGGGCTGAGCATGTTACCCTCTACACAGCCCAGGAATGGGAATCTGGGAGCAGTGGGTAATGGACTGGTAAGTACTGGCCATCAGGATGGGCCTTCAGAGTAAATAAATATTAAAGTCACTCAGAAAACTGCACCATACTTGCTCAATTACCCACACCAAAATACTACCTTATTAAGAAGGTTTTAGGAAAAAGGAGGAGGAAGAAGCAAAAGCTTTTGGGACACTGGTCTTAATGCAAAGTCCACTGTTCCAATCATTCCACATTTTAAAGTGTTAACACTCCCTTACAGGTTTTAATCACACCTGTTATTTTTTTACTTATTTGATTTCACTTTTAAAACAAAACTTAGCCCAACAGGTTTTATTGCCCCCATCAGCTAATCAGACAAAAAACTATCCCCATAGGCCTTTTGAAGAACAGAAATCGTCAAGAAACCCCCCAGTTAGCAAAGGTGCTCTGTGACGCCTGACTTCCTCTTTCTATAGAGCCATTAGTCTGAGTGATTTCAGTATTACAAGATTTTGTGGGGGATCTTCTCTATTAAATTTTCAGTTTCTAATGTCCTAGATAAGTGCACATGCAGGTAACTGAGAAACCATACACTTTCTTCAAAGGTGGAACTGAGTTCCACATGATAGGTGCATTTAAGGGCAAAACAGACACCATAAAAATAAAAATGTAAAGTATATGGATAGGGAGGAAGCGTAATACCAGTGACTTCCAGAAAGATGACTCCAGGGGAAATCCAGGCACCATATTCAATGGTTTTTAGGCACAACTAGTTCACTGAGGGTTAACCACCACCACATACAAGCTAAAGAACACCCCATCCAATATATCTCTGACTACGTAGCACAGTATTACATCCAGAATATGAACAATTCCCTTCTGCATCTCATTAACAAATACAGGATGACCAAAACATACTACTCCTGACTTCCCCAAAACATTAAAGACAATATTGCATCTTACCCTGGCCCGCTCCAAACTCCTTCTTTGTTCATGAAATGCAGCTGGACTTTTCAGAGCTGTTGGGAGGAAAAAATTTAGAGAATTAATTAGAATGATGGAAGTTCTTTCACTGCACATCCCTTCAGGCCAACTAAGTTAGCAAATATACTGCAGCAACTGCCTCCTGCATCTTTCAACACACTGGACCAGATCTCCAGCTGGTATAAAGCAATGTGAATTGACATACTCCATTTGACAGCCCAGGAGCTACAGGAACTGACCTCAACTTTTTGTGGGCTGTTGTAGAGACTAATACTGGTACACTTCTAGCCAAACTAACCACCACTCGCAAAGTTGGATCCAACAACATGAGTCAAACCCAGACCCCCAACAAACGCCTGTTACAAGCTTCAACATAGAGTAAGATATCCAAGACCCTTAAGTAAGGGAATGGCACTGAAACACTGAAGAGATACATGAAATGGTTGGAAGGATGGGGGAGGATCCTAATGAACTGTAAATCCTCTTTTCTACCTTTTAATGTCAAAGGAAGATGCAAGTCTTTCCTTAATCTGCACCTGTGTTTTGTGTACATGCAAGGGCTGGTTGCAAATTCTGCAGGTCCACAAGACGTATATTGTTCCGTGTAAGAGAAACTATCATGAGAACAGGAACACTTGGACAGGAAAGTAAATCTGTCTGTTGACAGAAAACCAAGACTTGAGGAATTAACAGCAGCTCTCCATATAACAGACCTCCTCGCCCCCTCAGGCCCAGTATACATCCAGAGCCAAAATGGATCATGTTTTAAGAAACTGATCCTCTGCTGTCCAGGACCGTACTAACCCTGGAGGAATCTCTCACTCTGCCTGGCTCCTCTGGAGCACACAAAGCTCACGTCCCACAGTAAAACCAGAGAAAGAGGGTGACAACAGCGTCACTAGCTCCTCACAGTTTTCCCAAATCCACAAGTAACTTGATTTTTAAAACAATTGCATTGTGGCTTGTATTCAGAACTCGCTGAAGGGATCATATTTCTGAAATACTCATATTAAAACTGCCTGGTGAAGTTTCTAAATTACCATCAAGCTAAACAGCAAAGGTAAAAAACTTCAGCTTTAAAGGTAAGATGTAAGTCTTTTGAAGACAGAAATCTAAACTTGTACAGTTAGTACAAGTACTAGATCCAGCGTACTGCATCTAAGTCCTATGAAATACAGGCTACTCATATTATTTTTCACTTAAGACCAATGATTAAATATTTCTCAAATGTAACTTTATAATGAAATTTCCGAAGACTATTAAAAAATAAAAGCCTTTGAATAAATGCAATGTAAGAAACTACTTTTAATGCATGTGTAGACTTCTAAACTCTTTCCTACAGAATAAAATGGAGCAGCCAAACACAAAGTGTTAAGACAGACACACATTCCATGAAATATACACAGACTCACTCTAGGCTCACATCAATGGGGTAAAAAGTAGAATTTATTCCATATGCCAGGAACTCTGAACACACCAAGGCATCACAGGTGGGATTCAGACTACAGAAGTGAACGAAGAATAATTTGTAGAATAAATTAACAGTAATTGAAAACTCACCATAGTGAATGAGTGTACAGACCCCTACAATGATGGGGCAAACAGTTCATGTTCACATTAAAGATACTTTCATACAATCTGGTTATGGAGAGAGATCACCAGAGAAAGTTATGCAAGCTGTAAAATGGGAGTGCACCAATTGCACTTTGGGATAAACCAAAGCAAGGGTAGAGATATGGTTTTGCAATAACTGCAAAAATAATACAAAAAGCTTCACTGGCTAGCTAAGACATCAACTCCTGGGCAATCTGACTTCACTTTGGTGAAGAGCAAGCAACAAATGTTATTGGGAAATACCCTTTTCAAGCCACATGAACTGCTTGTGAATATGCACACACTTGAACTTAAACACCCATTTCTGTCATTGTATGCATATCACAGAAAAGTGAAATAAAAGTTCAGGTACACTTGGGCAAAGATACCATGCAATATATAAATTGATACAAAAATCTACCCTGGAGACAAGCAAATCATGACTTCTTCTCTTGAGTCTTCAAAAGCTCTCTACCACCAGAAAATGCAGGCATGGCAGTAATTCTTTACTCTCCCCTTCCTGCCTACCTCTGCCATCAGTAAGAGGCAGCACATGAACTTTAAGTGACATTTCCCTGACCATAGCAAATGGTCAAGAAAGTCAACTGCAGGAGCTCAGCTGATGTCACAGGTAGTCCAGGAAAATTCTTGCATACAGAAGAATGAAGCAAGAAGAAAAGAATCCCTGTGAAAAATAAAAGCCCTCACCCAAAACACATACATATTAAATAGTAAGTAATGCAAAACTGCTGCGGGAAGAATCTTGAGAAGAACAATTTCAGTCTCTCATGACTAGTCCTCTGGAAACAAGCACTGGGTTGTAGCTCTCTGGGCTGGCAACATGACAGAGGACTTCATATTCGACCTCTGAAAATGTCAAGAGGGCACAAATCCTTCACTGCTTCCCTCAGCATTCTAGGATGAAGCTGACATGCCAGAAGGGGGTGTCTATTGTAAAATCATACTCCATTCGAAGTTAACTAAGTCTTGCACATTTTTCTGGCTTTGAAATTACTACATAGTCCAGAGTTGTGGAGCAACTCTGTTAACTTTACTATAGCAAACAAACAAACAAAAAATCCGATGAAGAACTCTGAAGCAGTAAAGCTCTGGATAAGCTCTACAGGACACTCACAATGCAGACATGCCCCTTTCCCAGTTCCTACCACTGCCCTTCCCAGTCACTTGGTACTGATCCGGGCAAAACTATTGCTGTCCCCCATACCCCCTTCTGGCTTGCTCACCCAAGTGCTGCTTTATCCATTGCACTCAAAATTACCCATACTGACAAAGCTCTACTGTTCTCAGCCATATCAGCTATTCCGGCTCATTCTGAAGGGTTATGCAAATGAGGGGCTGAGCTGGTGGAGCAGAAGCAGTGGTAACCAGGTATGTATGGGGGCAGCACTTCTACTACTGACGCAGGATCCATGTCCACAGCCCTGAAGCAGCAGATATAACCACAGAAAACAGGGATGAAGAAACTCCAATCCCCTAATGATTTCTGACTGCACAGACTGGATAAGATATAATAAACTAGTCCTTACAGTGGTTTGTCTATCCTGTTCTTGGAGACCTCTTATGAAAAAATGCAATACCATTGCAGAGAAGTTATTCCAAGTACATAGATGTCCTTGCTATTTAAAAACCTTTCTGAATGTCTAATTTACATTTCCCTTCATACAATTTATACTCTTCATTCCCTGCCTTACCTGCAATGATTACACTGAACAATTTATTCTCTTCCTCTTTGCATCTATTCCTATATATTTGAAAACTTTGGTTTTTCTACAGTCTCATTACATAAAATGACCACAGCCAGTTGTTTCAACCTTCCCTTATAGATAACATTTTCCAGACTCTTCCTTGTTTACTCTCTTTTTGTCTCCTTCCATTTGATCTGCATTTTTATTGAAGTATAGTGTACAAAATTTGGTACATATTTTATACTAAAATTTATCAAATTTTATAGAGCTAAATGATAATTAAATAACACTTCTCAGTTATATGTCCCAGCCAGTTTTCCTCTGTGTACATAAAACACATAACATATTCACTTGTGCTTGGCTCACAAGCCGTGAAAGGTCTCCAATCCTCTTCTAGAAGATAGCTAGATAGGTAGAGTTGCTATCTAGCCATACATACAAAATGTAGAAACTCTGCATTTTTCTTTGTTCTGTATTTCTCAGTTTATCCAAATATTGAGAGTCCCAATCCTGTCCTCCCAGCCCACTAACCTGCAAGTTTAATAAATATGCACAGTTCCCTTGTTTACATCAAATTACTGAAAATACGGAATAGTATCATACGGACCTTCTCCCTCCCAACCCAAAAGGTCCTGCTCAACACATCCTACCAGTCTGACACCAAGTCTTTATTTCCAATACTGTTCTCTCACCACTTGCATACGCAGCCTCGAGTTGTCACAGCTTGCTTACAAAAACACCAGGCAAGCCTGTGACAAGCACCCTACTAAATCCAAGAAGTATAAAAAGACATTTAACACCCTGACTTCCTGGAGAGGCAGTTCAACAAATATTTAGTCTGGTGGTAGGTCCATCTTAAGCAACGACCTCTTTTTCCCTTCCCTCATGTCCCACTCATTTCTGCCTTGCAGCTGATTCTCCAATTGTACTCATACCACACAGGGAGCTGTACTAGGGAACTGTCAACATAAAGTAATTCCAGCACCTCCCCATGGCATGTGCCCCTCCCCAAAAAGAGGTACTAGTTAACTCACCTCAAATCCTTGACCTAGCTAACTGTGTGGCCAGCTTTGCCAGCAAAACTTTTAGTGAGCCCCGACAAGAATAGAGGTGATGCCAAAGGAAAAAAAAAAACAAATTGGCCAAACTACAATGGTATTATTAAGTGTTGAGAACTTCTGTTTTCCACTGTATGCAGAAAAAAAATCCTCTATATTTCTCTTCTACTACTCTGCTGAGATATTTGAGAATGTAGAAGTAACTTCTGCAATGCCCAATTTCAGTTAGGTATACCTTTTGACTGCCTTTCTGATTTTGTTTCTACATGATATGTGTATGGTATTTCATCATGAATATACTGCAGTGTCATTTCTGCCCTCATTCCTGTAGCTAGGCTTGGGACAAACCATGTTAGCACTCAGTTATGCTGACAAAACTGTTTGTAGACTCAGATCACAGCTGTTTTGAGAGAGCTATTTTAACCTGGATTGGTATGCTGGTTTACAGCATGGCTCCACAAAGAATAGTGTCAGCAGAACTGAGCAAAAACTGCCCTGCCAGACAAAGTCAGAAATGAGAGGCTGGGTTTAAGGCCAGTGCTGCAGCAGGAGCCCCCACGCTGCTGAACCACAGCCACCATGTCTTCGGATTGTCCCACCCACCTTAGGAAAACAGCCTGATGTTACAAATGGCTGAACAAGCACTTTAAATGCCTAGTGATAGAAGGGGCATCACTG